CTCCAATATGGCTCCCTGTAAGTAGCTCCTCTCTCGTCGTGCTGTTAAGTAACTTAGATAGGGCCTCAAGAGAGTATACCAAAAACCGTGGGCTTTCATGTAGTCCGTAATTACTTTGTTTGTCCAATATGGTGCGCCGGATGGGGAGGTCCTTTGGGTTCAAGCAAGCATCTATCACCTATAAGTTAGATTACATACGGCGTCATTGTTTGCGAGCTTGCTTCCTCTTGCATCCACAAGGCTGGCTGTAGAAGTTCTCCCAGACGACAGGCGGCACTCTGCTGTACACCTTCGTCATACTACATATCCATATATGTGGTTTTTATTTTCATGACGGTCCTTTGCGGTTGGTGGGTGCTTGTAAGCTGCCAAATCTCCAATTCGCGCGCGGCTGCAAGTAAATGGCTGATGACAAGGGCCGCCGGACCTAGAATGCAGATGATGATACTGACAATGAAATACGACGCACATTGTAATTATACGCATGCTTGTAAATATGGAGCACCGACGTCAGTGTAATAAAAAGGCCCCTTGCCAGTTCCGCGTAACATCACGATTAACCGGTATGCTTCTTCTTTATTTTCATCATTATTATTTTTCGTTCAGTTTTTGTCATATAAAATTCCCTCTTCTCTATATTTTCAGCCCGAAATATAATAGCGAAATCCGCGCAAAATCACCGTACCCAAGACGACCCCTGGACACGCTCGTCCCGTATTTCCTTCTTGCGATTGCGTACGCCAAGCTTTTTAGCCAGCTCATAAAGTTGCCCCTTGCACTCCACAGGGCCATGTTTATGTTTAATTTTGGGAAAATAAAGCATTGAAAAAATCTAATTGGAGGTAAGATTGTAGGTATCATGAAAGCAAATACGACATAGACTAATGTCTATGAGGAGGAGAGCCCTTGGTGGCCCCAGAGCGGAGCACGGGAACCGAATACAGTCTCATATTGCAGGGTCGAGAAAATGAAATAATAAAGGTGGCAACCCGATATAAGACACCAAAACAGACGCTTAAAAAACGGAGACGTGACCCTTCCAAGTGGACTGTGTAAAGCAAACGTACTTGATTACAGGGTAGGTCGCTGTCTATGGAGTGCTTCCGGGGATAAAACCTTATGGTCTGAAATCGCACAAAAGGAGAAAGCTCCAGGGCTCGTGCTCTTCGAAGTAACAACTACCTCGTGTGTTAGACACTCGCAGGCCCGTATGCAGATAGCACATCCAGGTCCGCTTGGCGTCCTTGGGACAACCCCTTTGGTCCCAATGCGTTGACAAATGCCAAGCATGTTTCTTGAAAGGAGATATGGGTTGGGGTTCGACGGCCTGAAATGAGGTGGATTTGCAGATTGTGCATCCAACAAACGTTCTTTTGAAGTGCATCAAAGCGCTCCCAGAGGATACCAGTGGTAGCCAATACATACGGGACGAAGTCGATCCCCCATCTGTGCCTTGAAGAAGATGTTGCACCGTTTGTCGCAGGAAAGGCGTGCAGTAATTAACGGGGCATTGGAGGTCCCCTTCTCTTGCTCCAATCAAACCCCCCATTTTTGCCGCTTCCTGTAAACTGAACAATTACCATGTGCGCCAGCATCTTACTTTCAACAAGAGCAGACAAGCTCCAACGCTAATTGTCTTTCGGGGTGGAGTCCCTTCATAGTTTAGTGCTCTTTTTGCTGCCTTTTGCTCTCCTAAAAATGGTTTCTTTTCCCCCTTTCTTCCTTTGTCCGATGCACCTTGGACAATGGAGAAGAGAAGAGTCGTCGGATGCTTGGACAATTGTAACAGCTCGCGTTGAAGCGCGTATTCCATCTCTTTGAAAGATACGTCGTACTTGGGTCGAATGTTCTAATTTTCGTGGAGTTGTATGTGGCAACCTTGTGCCCCCAGATATCCCGGGAATAAATGTAAAAGACGTTTACACGAAGCAATACAAGGAAATGTGTATCTTAAATAAACTGGGTCTTAGAGCTAGGGGGCTCCTTCCCCATGCTGGCAGGTGGGACGCAGTCCCCACCCCGAGTTTGCGCCGCAGCGGCCCCGATATGCACACAAGGAAACAGCAACCACTGCGGCTGGAGGCCATTCAGGGCGAATCGCAGCTACTTTGCAGACACACTTTTCTGACCTTGTAATACCAGCGGAGTGTCCGTATGGAGCCTGCCTGCGCCAAATTAGTCCTCCCTGTTGGTTGTTCATGTCTTGAATATCCAGTGAATGTGACAGCAAGACTCAGCAGGCCACCATTAACCGCCCTTTGCCACGGCGTTTACGGAGTTTGTCACTAGAATCCCGCCTGTTGCTGTTACTCTTTGTCTCGGGGGGCCAGCGCTTTCCTATCACCAGTAAGTTCCTCGAGCTACAGTATTTCTACGGAGTATTACAGAGTATCTCAAGTTGTAGATCAGCATTCGCCGTTACCCTTTCAGTCTTGCCTTGCGCCCATCCCCGGCCGCCGCCTCCGTCTCTCTGGGTCCTGCAAGTGCCATTGTTTGTCTCTTAATTACCACCACTTGTGCCTCAACGTTACTCTGCTCCCGTGTCGTGGAGCGAGCTCGGGCGTGGAGCCGATCCTTTGGCTCAAGAATGGTGTAATAAGGTCTGTGGCGTTATTGCCACTTTATCACTCTCTGAGGTGCTCTCGGTGCTGTTTGATGATTGAGTGCAGCCTCTGTAGGTTAACCTGTGCTGAACAACGGGTAAGTATGTTGTAAAGTATTACTGGTTCACGGAACGTCGCGCATTCGCACATACTGTCGTATTTTGTCTTCTTAATACCACTCCTGTTCCCTGAGCATTGTCCTCTGACTCAAAACACCCGGCGAATGGCTCCTGCCTTATTTTCCCCGAACCCATCCCATTACCTCATCGTAACCCAGGCGGCTGAGCACTCCCCATCGCTCCTACCTGTTAATGTAAGATTCTAAATGATCCAATTCTTGCTCGCGAGCACAAGGAACCGCTCTGCTTTTGCCGTACATTTTTACGCAAACAACCCATATCACGGTTAGGGCCCATAGTTTTCCCGCTTGACGGAGAAGAAGCTCACGAGACAATGGGGTCTGGCTGGCTGCATGTGAGCTTCTTTCTCACAGCCTGTCGCTAGTGTTAGCTGATACGAAAGATACGCTCCAACTGACCCGTGAAATGGCGGGCTCCGACTAAACCATTCGCTCCTTCCTGTCTTTTGCTGCCACTCCTGACCGGCCCTGGGACTGGAAAGACCATCCCACAGCGCCTTCCCAATAAATCATATTCACGGATCTCGGTCTTGCCCAGTGCCGTTTCTTGTCCACCGACTGCCATCCCTCCCACCAACTACTCCATTTCGTGTCCCTTTTGTCCACTGGTCCTCTTCTCGTCTTCCTCTCTACTTTTTTAATTCTCCCCCATCGTCTCCGCCTTTGTCTTGGCGTCACAATTGCGACTCATTCTTCTGATCTTCGGCCCCTGCCGTGTTGCACGACCATCGTGCCTCTTTCGACGGCTCTCTGCACGGGGCAGCATCTGCCCTGCTCGAGTACACCTCGGCGCCTTACGCCACATTCTCACCCACATCGCACCAACATTCTGCTCTCGCGTCTATGATCGTTTGCTCTCCTTTTGTTCGCGTTCCCCTCCCACAGCGGCTTTAACCAGCCCCTCCGCGCTGTTGTGTACTTGGTACTTGACCGGGGGATCCACTCGCTATTCCTAGCATTCGAAAAGAAAAAAAGAAAAGAAAAAAAAAGGAAAGAAAGAAAGGGCTGCCGCCACGCCACACCTGTTGGTAATCCACTCGCCAATTCTCTTCTCTTCCTTGCCGATGTTAGTCTGGCATGCTGCTTTTACTGCATGAGTTCTGTTCAATTTTCTTCTGTTCGTTGGTCTTGTCTTTCTTCTTGGATTTATTAGCATAACGCTCCATCCCAAAGGGAATTTTTGTTCTCGGCGAGGAGACGATTCTTGACGTTCCTTTTTGAGGTTTTCTAAGTAGTCTTCGTCGTCTCCAGCTGTTCACAACCGGCGGAGGGACAGTGTTTTGTTTCTACTTTCCCGTCTCCTTTCGTCGTTCTTACTTCAGTACTCCACCATCGGAGAACCCACTCGCGTATATGAAAGACCGAGTGTGACTAAAGCCTGCAGCAACACCCTAAACTTTGTCGACAATTACTTTCGACGAATACCAGACCAACGAGCGCCAATATTTTGCAAACTGCTTCATCAATCCTCGCCGTACCAAAGAAGGTCGGAGACACAGCTGCCCCCCGATCTGAGACTCATCCTGTCCTTTGCCTCGCCGCATTTGGTTTGTTATTGTATGCGCACCGCCACTCCCGGTTGATCTTATCACTCGCACGCATTCGACGACAAAACACCGCCTTGCGACAACGCTGACCTTCCTTCACCCTTGACTCTTTTTCTGGCAAATCTGATTCCGAGAGTTCATAATTGTGTTTTACCCTCCGTACCTCAACAGTACATCCATCCAGTGTCCATTGGCTCCTTTCAACCCAATTGTCACCAAGGTGGTGGAGAGGCGCTGCTGGCTGTCACTGGAATTTCACCTCTTGACTGCATGAACAGCTCTCTACCCCGTCTTTTGTCTTCTCGCCATACCATGCCACCATGAACCCGGGGTGACTGGCTAGATCAACTTTATCACCCGGCCTACAATAGCACGCGGACTCGTTGAATAGGCACGTCCGTTGCGCTTTGGTTTCTTTCCCCATGATACACGGCGCATGATCGCCAGATTGATACACAATACGACGGGCCTCGACGGCCGATAGGCGGAAGCTTTTACGAGACATCGACAAACGAAGGGCAAACAGCTTTTTTGCCTCCAGAATCTCATATCTTTGGGATTTCTCTCCCACTGTGTTACTAGGTGATAGCGGTGACAACGGCGACAGCTACGATAACACCGTGGGATGACAACCTCGTATCGTTCTTCCCAGATACACACGTATTGGACAGCTCCAGAACAGCGCTGCCACCGACGGATCGCCCTGACGCCATGGGAACAGCCACCTCACCCACCGGGTCGGACGACGAGTCCGGCGCCGCGTCTTCCAAAGACTGGCTAGCAAATGAAGAGGGTGGCTCGCCTGAAGGAAGCATCCACTCGGCTGATGATGATCAGGTCGACATCAAAGCTGAGGACTCCGCCACCGACGGCACTCTTCTCGCCGGTAGTGGCGACGCAACAATACTCACGCCAGTGCACAAGCGCAGGCGTGTAACACGAGCATGCGATGAGTGCCGCCGAAAGAAGATCAAGTGCGATGGCAAACAGCCGTGCACACATTGCTCCGTCTATAGCTATGGTAAGTATGGCTCTGTCTGTGGCTATTTTGCCCTTTTGCCCTGCGTCTCCGCTGGCAGACACTCCCCGGTGCAGTCTTTCTAACGAGAAATGTTGTAGAATGCACGTACGACAAGCCATCAAACCGGCGAAGAAATCCAGCACCGCAGTACATTGAGGCACTTGAGAGCAGACTGCAGCGGGCGGAGACGCTTCTTCGCAAATTCATGCCTGATGTTGACTTGGCGGACCCGAATCTCGACCCAATGGTGCAACAAGAGTTTCAAACCCGAGAGCGCGCGCGTATGCAAGCCGCAAAACAGCGGCAAGAAGAACAACAGCAACAGCAACAAGCCACCCAAGCCGTGCAACAGGAGAAGGGACAGCACCAGCATCAGCATCAACATCAGCAACAACACCAGCAGCGACAACCGAACACAGGAGGAGGTGACGCAGACGCTGACGACGAAGAACTCATGTCCATGGTCGCAAACATTAGCCAACTCGAATTGACCGAAGGCGGGGAGTGGGACTTCCATGGTATCTCCTCCGGCGCCGTCTTTCTGCGGAGAATGAAGGAGAACTTTCACAACCTCCTTGGACGCGACTCGCTCGTTCCATACTTAGCACGTCCACCGCGGTACCCCGGTGTTTTCAGCCTCGACTCGCCACGATCTGCCGGTAGCTCGCCCTATGACTCCTCCGCTGTTCCTCTGTTCTACAACTTGCCTCCGAAGGAGCACGCACGAACCCTCTGCTACTTCTCACTAAATTGCGCCACGTGCCTGTTGCGTATCGTCCATGGACCGTCCTTCTTTGAGGTTTTTGATCGCCTATACGAAAAAGCCCCCGAAAATTTGGGGCCGGAAGACCACCGGTCATTGGGTCTTTTTTACTCCATCCTTGCTCTGGGTTGCATGTACAACATCTCCGAAGACAACGATTCATCCAGCCCAGTGCACTATAAGTCGGCCATGGAGGAAGGGTATGTTCTCGTCGCGTTGTTGGCGCTGTGTAGTGCAGCCTTACACGACATATCATTTCACTAACCATCCTATACAGGCTCAAATATTACACGACTGCTCGTATTCTACTCCAGGACATTACGGATTGTCGCGATTTAACGTCCCTTCAAGCCCTACTTTTTATGATCCTCTTCCTTCAAGCTACTTCGAATTTGAGTGGATGCTACTCTTTTGTCGGCATAGCTCTACGCATCGCACTCCGCATGGGTTTGCACCGCAACCTACCCCATGCGAAGCTCACTCCGATCGAACACGAGTCGCGCCGCCGCGTATTCTACGTCATCCGCCAAATGGACACATATGTGTCAGCCTTGCTAGGCTTTCCGATGGCCCTTAGAGACGATGATATCGACCAGCCGCTACCATCGGAGATCGACGACGAGTATATCACCAAGGACGGCATTCTACAGCCTCCACCTGGAACGCCTTCTTTCTTCCAGGCAAGCAATGCCTATACAAAACTGATGGAGATTCTCGCCAAGGTCATTAAGTGCGTTTACCCGGTCAAGCGCGGCGACTGTGGCGCCGCAAACAACAGTGAGACCCCGACTTCGTCGTATATGATTAGCTATTCCAAAATAAAAGACATCGAGCGTGAGTTGCATGCGTGGTACGAGCACCTACCAACGTATTGGCGACCGAACCCAGATGGGCCCATCGAGGTCATCCGGGTTCGTACACTCCTGCGGTTTGCCTATGCACATGTCCAGATGATGATGTACCGGCCCTTTCTACATTATCTGTCTGCGCGCGTGCAGGCGACTCACAAGCTGGACGACCGGTACTTTGCTTGTGCCGCCGCAGCTGTCAGCATCTCCCGGAATATTGTGCATATCGGCCTCGAGATCCGCAAACAGGCCGTGCTGATCGGCCCTTACTGGTTCATCCTATACACCGAGTTCTTCGCCATCTTGTCGTTGGTGTACTATGCGCTAGAAAACCCGGATAAGCCGGGCTCAACCGAGATCATGGCAGATGCCGTTTCTGGCAAGGCTGTGATTGCCACTCTGTCGAAGAGAAGTATGGCTGCGGACCGCGTGACTGCAGCTTTGGACGTGAGTCAACCTTAAATATTTGAGTCGGTGCATATAGAGTGCATTGCTGACGTTTTTGTGCTTTTTGCAGAAACTCTTTGAACAGCTTCCCGATCGCCTGAAGAAAGGCAAGACAGGGCCAACGCCTCCAACGAGAAAGCGCTCTGCGCCTGGTCCCAAGGATGTCCAGGCCGCCAAGACCGGCGTACCGTCGCCATCCACTGTTCCAAAAGCCCGACGATCCAACGAGATCAACCGTACTGTCGTGCAAGACCAGCATCGGCAGACACCACGACACCGCATGTCCTTTGAAGCCATTCAACAGCAGCAGCAACTTATCATTCAGCAGCAGCAGCAGCAGCAGCAACAACAACAACACCAGCACCAGCACCAGCACCAGCACTCGCAGCAGCAGCACCAGCAGCATGCACACAGCATCCCTACAGCGCCGTTTGCTGCCAACTTCCAGGAGCTGCTTCCTCTCGATATTCCTTCATCGACTGACAGTCCGGAATCAGGCAGTACACCATCAACGAGCCACCGATCGGCGGGAGGCTATGCTGCGCACCATACGCCCACTGCAAGCATGGGCAGTGGCATCGGACTCAGTAATGCCGGTGTCACAGCTGGCGGCTCCAGCGTACCAGTGTCTGATGGATCCACATTGACGACGAACCCTCTGTACAAGCTGGACGCTATGTTGTTCCCGTCCAGCGACCCATTCGCCTATCCTAGCCAGCCGATTATGGACTTTGGGTTGCAAAACCTCCTGGATAGTGTGACTGGAGACAACGGCGGTGGTGGAGGCATCAGTAGCGCCAGTGGGGGCGGCGGCGGTGATGGACGCGGTGTTCCCTCCAGCTCTAGCGGCGCCGGACAAGACCAGCAGCCGCCTTCCGATGCAATGCAGTTTTATGCTCCGAACATTTACAATGAAATCGAAGGCCAGCTCTTGGAGCCCGTACCTGCATACCTCATGCAACCATCCGGTGCACCGGCAGGCATCGACCTCGCTTCCGAGATGTACGGTGCTAATAGCCTGCTCACACTGCAGCAAGCGCAGGCACACAATGCCCAACAGCAGCAGCAGGCCGCCCATGCACATCATCACCAACAGCAGCAACATCAGCAGCACCATCAAATCCCACAACAACAGCAGCAACAACAGCACGTTGATGCCATGTTCGCTGACAACTTTAATGACATGTTTTCCGGCCAATACCAACAGCGCTTGTGAGCGCACTACGAGACCCACCATATCTCGAAACATTACTCGTATGAATGACAAAGCCCTTCCAGCACTCTATACCAGATCTACATACCCATGACCATGTACGAATGCATTAAAGCATCACAGGCATTCTTCTCTCGGCGAGGAATACTTTGGATAGGGCAGGACGGTGAGAACATAATCCGACGGGAAACGTCAGTCGCCGGCCATACAATATATATATTTACCTTTTTCGTATACCATTTGGGATGATACCACATACGGGACAGCGTGAGATGATTCTTACTATTGTATATTTATGTCATCTAGATGCGGGTTAAAACAGTATTTCTGCTTTTTAAGAATTGATACCTTTTGCAAAGTCCAAAGATGCACCGAAGGCAGCTTATAAGAGCGCTGTACCAAAATGGATCCTCTCCGGATATGAGACTATCATCGAACACGGGGCTGCTATTGTGGCTAACAACGGCTTTCCTCTTGACGCAGTGCGGAATCATTAAAAGATGCAGGGCGCACCATTCCTGTGACAAATTCCTACTGCATTGGAGCTGTCAAGACTGTTAGGGTAGGACGAAATGCACGGTGCTTATATTAGTGCACCTCTATGTCGCTGCTGCTGTTTGGCCGAAGCCCGTCGTTTTTATCTTAGGTCTCGAATTACGCCGTAAAAGGCAGCTGCGAAGGAGCGGGGGCCGGGAATGGTGAATGCGTCTCCTCGCTTTGGCAGAACGTCTCCACTTTTTCCCTATCCTTCTCTCGCTACTCACATACCTCTCAGTTCACTCGCTTCCCATCACAACATAGCTCTTCGCCTCGACTCCCTCATCATCCCGACGATAGCCTCTCCTGCATTTCCCCCTCCTCCATCTCAGGCCACTATTTTGCGAGCAATTTTTTGTACTTTCTCCTCTTCTTTGTTCAATTCGTTTTGGTCCTTTCTCTGTATTGTTTGCGTCACCTACAGCGTCTCAAATAGATTTGCGCAAGTCTATTTCTTGCGAGGCTATTCCGTCATCTGATTACGAACGTCCCAAGTGGGCGCGCCATCACTCTCATCGCACTGTTCATTGCGATAACCATAGCTGCCGACTCTTTCAGCAAGGAGAAAATTACACACACTCGGGTGACCTGACATCCACTGTCAATATGAGTGGAGATGCAATGTCCCCAACAATGTCGGACATCGACCACGACCTGGTCTTTGTGGAGGAGTTTGATGCTCTGTATGTATTGCAGTGCAGCCGCAACTGCTCGGCCCAGCCGAGTTTAGCTCACAATGACATCCATCTAACGACTTGCCTTCAGATCGATTGAACTAAAGGTGGTTCCGGGGTCAGAGGATGCCTTTGAGGATGGCATCGCACCGACATCTGGCAAGGCAAAATATCCCGGTATGTCCATGGCTGCAGCTCTACTATATTGTCGGACGTTGCACACAATTGCTAACCCGACGTCCCCTCCAGCAAAAACACATGCACGCAAGGTGGCCAAGGCGCTCGGTGTCAAGGATGGCCTCGTCTACCTCCCCGGCCTGCCGACACAGATCTACGAAGACTCTGATATGGGGCCGGCCTTCCGGCAGAGACGATAGTAAGATTGGCGGCCCATTCAACCAGGACCTGGGGCCCCCGGCTAACATGGCAGCTTCTACTACATCGCCGGTGCGGACTTTGAAAACTGCGCCGCCACATATGATCTCGCCACCGACAATCTTATTCTCTGGGTGCCCTACATCGACCCACGCCAGGTGATGTGGTACGGGACGAGCCCGGGACCCAAGGAATGCTTAGCCAAGACCGATCTCGACGAGGTCCGCTACACAACAGACCTGGACGCGTTCCTGCGAAAGCGTCTCGACCTCGGTGCCGCCGACGTTGTCCGCATCGGCGCCTCCATCGGCAGCAGCTTCTGCCGCGACCAGAACCACCGCGGCACATCATCGACGACCACGCTGTACGTGCTGCACGCCGACCAGATCCCCGACGTGCTCAAGGATGAACCGGCTCCTAGCTCACTGGTGGTGGACTCGTCCAGTCTGCTGCCGGCCATGGACTCTGCCCGCGTCGTCAAGACCGCCTACGAGATTGATTTGATCCGCAAGGCCAACGACGTCAGCTCGACCGCCCATGCCGCCGTCCTGTGCCAGCTCAAGAACATGACCAACGAAAGCGACATCGAGGCCGTGTTCGTCAACCACTGCGTGGCCGTCCACGGTGCCAAGCACCAGGCCTACCCGGTCATCGCCGGCTCCGGTACCAACGCCAGCGTCCTGCACTACTTTGGCAACGACGAGCCCTTGGCTGGGCGCCAGCTCGTGTGCCTGGACGCCGGCGCCGAGTGGGACCTCTATGCATCCGACGTGACGCGCACCTTCCCCATCTCGGGCTCCTTTACGCCCAAGGCCGCCGCCATTTACGCCGCCGTGCAGCGCATGCAGGACGAGGTCTTTGCGCGCTTCAAGCCGGGCGCGCCGTTCGCCTACCTGCACCTGCATGCCGCTTACGTGGCTGCGCAGGAGCTGCTCCGCCTCGGCATTCTCAAGAACGGCTCCGCCACCGAGATCCTGGCCAAGGGCACCATATCAGCCTTTTTCCCGCACGGTCTGGGCCACCACGTCGGCCTCGAGGTGCACGACGTGCTGTCCTCTGACCTCTTGTCGCGGCCGCCCGCTGATTCGAGCTCCGTGTCCAAGGCCAAGGCCAAGACCAAGACCAAATCCAACTCTTTTGTCACAAGCACGCGCGACGTGCGCAGCCAGCTAGGCGGCACCAAGCGGCAGCCGGTGACGCCCGAGATGTACATGGCGCTGATGAACGAGGCCGCGGTCGTGTCCAACGGCCATGTTTCGGCCTTTTTCGAGCAGCAAGACCGCCGGCGGCTGCTTGAGCCGGGTATGGTTGTCACCGTCGAGCCAGGAATGTACGTACAAGCACATACTCTATGCCCCTTGCAATGTTTTTGTTCTTTTTTGTTTAAAAAAAAAAGTCTTACGGTTTGACTAACTGTTCTCTTAGTTACTTCTGCCGCCCGTACATTGAGTCCTTTTTCCTAGCAGACCCGACGCATGCCCAGTACATCGACAAGGATGTGTTGGAGTCATACTATAGCGTCGGTGGTGTCCGCATCGAGGACTGCCTGCTCGTAACAGAGGACGGCTACGATAATCTGACGAAGGCGCCCAAGGGCGATGATGCCCTGCGGCTCATCAACCACAAATAAGGACAGAGAAACGTCAATAAAATTTCTGCATTTTGGATATGGGTTGCAGTCGACTCGAAGTAGCCCAGGTCGTAGACAAAATCTCATCCCTTGTATAATTTAATCGTAGGCAACAATGCCATAGTACCATAGCACGTCACATAGGCAAGGCAATTTGAGCAATTTCAATGTGTCCAAAAAAAAAAAAAAAAAAAAAAAAAAAAAAAAAAACAATAATTCGCTGAGAAATAAATACAAAAAGTAACAAACATACACGGATCCCCTCAGCCTTAATGAACACCTCTCTCGTTATACAATGCACAGGCTCTTACCTCGTCGTATCATCAATCAGTACCGTGCTTTCATACTTGCGTTTTTGTTCGTTGCGCCCTTTTCACTATACCCAAGTCCCCACTCCATACGTTCGTCTCATCATTTACAAGTACTTCTTGGGCGAGCTGGCCTTGCGCCGCTTGTAAAACACATACGCGCCAGCGAGCAGCAACTGCCCAGCGACAATCACAAAAATCAAGCGCCCGTGGCCCGGGTGCCGCAGCGTCTCGGCCAGCCGGTCGTGGTGGCCCTCCAGGCGGCCCGCCACGTGCTGCCGAACCGAGCTCTCCGCATTCGCCACCGACTGCCGCAGCTCGCTATGCAGCGTCTTCATGTCGCGCTCCATCTGCTCCAGCTTGTCCTCAATCATGTCCAGCCGGTCCAGTTTGGTCAGCAGGCCCTTGAGCTGGCCCAGCTGGACCGATACCTCCTCGTGCCGCTTCTCGCCCACCTGGTCCGACGTCGCCACCTGCCGGAAGATGGTGGAGAGATGGTGGTTGACGCTCTGCAGCCGGTTGTGCAAGTCGGCAAATTGCGCCTTGGAGCTCGTAATGGTGTTCGCATCCGCGTCGGGGATGTTGTCGCGCTCGTAGTTGCGCGCCTCGGGCGTGTCCTCCACCATGCCGCCGCGGCTGATGCGGACAGGCGGGTGGCCCTCGCCGCCGGCCACGGGCTTCTGCTTGGTGTACTGGTCGTGCTCGTCGTGGAACTCGTGCTGCTGCTGCTGGTGTTCATCCGACTTGAACGTGTAGTCGTTGTTGTCGTGCATCACGACCAGCTTAAAAATCTCGGCCGAGTCGGGCGTGTCCGCCGACGCCGCCGTCACACCAAACCGGTAGCCCGTCGGGATCACCACGTCCTCGCTCGAGAAGCACAGGTGGCCGTCCAGCTCCACGCTGAACAGCCGGTCCGTCTGCTGGATCTTGACCTGCGCCGGCCGGCCCAGGTTGCGGAAGGGGTAGTCGCAGTGCGCAAACGCCAGACTGTCAATGCCCGTCAGCGCCTTGTACTCCTTGGTGCCGTCGTTGAGGTAGCCCCGCAGCGAGCCGCCGCCGCGCACGCCCGACGCGTCCAGCACGAGCACCAGACCCTCAAACTTGCCCACAGTGTACACACTGCTCGTGCCGACATTGGTTGGGCCGTCCTTGACCAGCCAAATATTGAGGTTGCCGCCGCCGCGCTCGGGCCCGCTCACGCGGAAGTCGACGTCGGCCAGCCATCGGGAGTAGTCCAATGTGTGCTCCGCCCAGACAGCGCCGCGCTGGCCGCCCGGTGCGGGCGCCGCAGGGGTCAAGACGACCTTGTTGGAAAGGATTTCGGGTTGGTAGGGGTTGCCCTGGAGCTCAAAGTGCGGGATGGACCGCGAGTGTTCCGGTGCTATTCTAAAGGAGTGTCAGTGGGTTTCTTCGCTGCGAAGTTTTTGTATTCGTGGTCGAACTTGCTATCTCGTCCTCGCCGAACATCACCTACCTGTTGGTGTAGCCAAAACTGAGCTCGCTCACGAGGAACTGAGCATGTGCAGCGCCAGCCAGGAGACTCCAGCTCCATGCCAGCGAGGCCGACGAGATCCGCATCTTTTCCAATTTCTTCTTCACTGTAGGTTCTGTGATTCAAGGCCAAAAGGGGTCCCAGCGCTGGTCGATTTCTTTACAACAGGACAAGGACAAGGACAACCTCCAAATGTCACAAAGAGGCTCTGCTGCCATGCGCTCCAGAACGGCTAAAGACGGGTCGTTGGCGAGATTTTGTAAACCTTGAGGACAGCTTGCAGGTGCGGAACAAACCACTCAACAATACCCAAAAAGGCAAACCAAATTGGAGTTCCAAAAAGATCAAAGCTGTCTTCTTTGGTTGGCGATCCGGCTGAATTGCGTCGCCTTCCGCCCCGGCCACGTCAATTGGCTCGTCAAGGGTGCGCTTCGTGCTTGTCTTTACCGCATATGCTTTACAACGAGCCCAATCGGTCGTAGTGTAAAAATATGGTGCGTTTGCGTCGATATCGTGCGATGAGATGCAGTCGTGGGTGTGTTGTCACGTACAAGTGGACAGTTGAGAACTTGCGATCCTGGAGAGCTTTCGAGATACGAAAGCTTTAATCTCACTTGGCAGGTGGTGACAGGTAGCGCCAAGTATAGCAAGTGCAATGCACCGTACTTTTCCCCGGCTTCTGGAAACCAGGGGTTGAGCCCACTGGTTTTAGCGGCGTATACTTGAGACAACGCCCGTCCCTCCATTTCCAGTGGCTACGGTGTTCCAGGGCCGGCGAGACAAAGGGGGAAAGAACTCCTGCATAGCCTGAGCTTCGATTGATGCAACGGGGCCACGATTCTTCTTTTCTTTTCCTTTTTTTTTAAAAAAAAGAAAAAAAACCCTGCGACTTGGATTATATTTTTTCTCTCTTTCTCAAGGGCCTCTATCGCCTATTAAGCCATTGTTGGACGAACGAAGCACTGTATCATGTGTGAACCTCGTGTTTGCGGGTTCCTTCTTATTTTTATTTTTCGTGCTCCAGACGTCGTGGGCCTGTCGCGTCATACCGTCGCCCCTTCCCCCTGTGTCGCGGGGATCACTAACGAAATAAGCAGGCGCGGAGTGGTCGCGCCAATCAACCACCGAAGATGGTGCAACGCTATCGGCTACTCGGAATTTAGCGCTAAGCTCTTTTGGAAAGCTCCAGAAAGTCACCTCAACCTGCAAATTGGCCCAAGGCCGCTTTAGCATCACGTTCTTCGTCCACTCTCTAAAAGATCACCACTTGGCGAGTCATCCAACAATGTTGCCATGGCGGTAGAAGCTTATCCGTCAATTGCGCAGTGCGCGCTTGTCGCTGCGGCGTTCAAGATCCTCTTGTTCCCGGCATAGTGAGTTTGCGAAACTTGGTTCCCCTATCTCAAACCCCCGTTTGGCTATCCACAAAACTTACTCTCGACGCGTGCCGACAGCAAATCGACCGACTTCGAAGTCCATCGCAACTGGCTCGCCATCACTAACAGCCTGCCGCTCTGGGACTGGTACTACGAACACACGTCGGAATGGACGCTCGACTATCCGCCCTTCTTCGCCTACTTTGAGTTTGTGCTCTCCAAGGTGGCCGCCCTCATCGACCCGGCCATGCTCCGCATCCGCAACCTAAACTACGCGAGCTGGGAAACTGTTTACTTTCAACGCTCGTCGGTCATTGTCACCGAGATCTTCTTGGTCTACGCGCTGCAAAAGTTTGTCGACTCGTGCCACGGGCCCGCGAAGCGCGCCGCCCAGGCCGTCGCCATCTCGATCATCTTGTCGCCGGGCCTCCTCATCATCGACCACATCCACTTCCAATACAATGGCTTTTTGTACGGCATCCTGGTGTACTCGCTGGTGCTAGCCAAGAAGCGGTCGACACTGCTGGGCAGTGGCCTCGTGTTCGCCGCGCTTCTCTGCATGAAGCACATTTACGCGTACCTCGCGCCCGCGTACATTGTCTTTTTGCTGCGCGCCTACTGCCTGTCGCCGAAATCCATCGTCCGTGTCCAGTGGCTGAACTGCATCAAGCTGGGCGCGGGCATGGCGGCGATTTTGGGAGTGGCGTTTGGTCCGTTTGCGCTCACAAACCAGATCCCCCAGATCCTGAGCCGCCTCTTCCCTTTTTCGCGCGGGTTGTGCCATGCCTACTGGGCGCCCAACGTCTGGGCCATGTACTCTTTTGTCGACCGCGTCCTGATTTATGGTAAGCTCTACTCCATGCCCAATGTGTTTGTCACGTATTCCTGCCATACTAACAGCGCAGTGGCCCCTCGCTTTGGATGGCATGTCAAGACAGAGGCGCTGACGAGCGTCACGCGCGGTCTGGTTGGAGACACGGCGTTTGCGGTCCTGCCTAATGTCAGCCCTCGCACGTGCTTCATTCTCACAATCGTCTTCCAAGCACTGCCTCTGCTGCAGCTTTTCACAGCACCGACCTGGGACAACTTTATTGGCGCCGTGACGCTCTGCGGCTATGCGTCGTTTCTCTTTGGCTGGCACGTCCACGAAAAGGCGGTACTTCTGGTCATCATCCCGTTTAGTCTGCTCGCGCTCAAGAACCGGCGCTACCTGAGCGCGTTCCGGCCGCTCGCCGTAGCGGGCCACGTCTCTCTCTTCCCGCTGCTGTTTACGCCCGCCGAGTTCCCTATCAAGACCGTGTACACCATTTTTTGGCTCGTGCTGTTCCTGCTGACGTTTGACAGCCTTGCGCCCGCCTCTACGCGTGCCCGCTTCTTCCTGTTTGACCGATTCAGCACGCTCTACATTGCCATCAGCATCCCACTCGTTGTCTACAGCTCCCTGTTGCACCAGCTCGTGTTTGGTGCGCGGTACGAGTTCCTGCCCCTTATGTTTACCAGTTCCTATTCCGCCATTGGCGTTGTTGGCAGCTGGATCGGCTTCTTAGTCGTGTACTTTACGTCGTAAAAAAAGCCAAGAGCCAAGACTCCCATGCTAGTGGATCATTTCAAAAATATAGAAACCAACAAAGGCCAAAATGCCGTTTACTTCATTTTCCTAGACAACAATACAAAAGATATCATGCCATCGCAGCAAAGTCAACAAGGCTGCAAGTGGATTCCCAGCCTCGTATCCGCGTAGAGCTCATAAATCTAAAGAAAAGTCGCAGCGAGGGACATCCCATCGCTAAACGTAGCGAACGGTGCCGACGGGGCCCGGGTCGAGTATGTGTCGGCCCTGCAGGGTGCTGATGGGCCCTCCTCCCTGTTGCGGAAGGTCCTGTGGTGCCGGCAAAACTAGAGGTGAGGTTGAGGTTGTGGACGTTCCACGTGATCCTGCTAGCCACATTGGGACGATTATGTGGGTCCGCGCTGACTTGACAAGTTCCTTCTTTCCCTTTTCTGACCTTGCCAGTCCCTTGTCTGGAACACCACCAGCACACCACACTGTCCCAGTCGTCCGCGGAATGCAAGGCTGAAGAGTGTGATAGGCACTTACATGTACCTATTCGCCCAAAATGGGTTGCGGGGTACATACCAAAACAGAATCATTTATTTCTTTAAAGTGCCCTAAAACGGAACCAGGCCGGGGCACTCGGGTCTGCTCCCCCCCTCTTCATTTTGCGCTTTCCACGCCAAAATCGCATGTCGTGTCCTTGTCCTCCTCCCCGATCGCCTTAGACTCACGACGGCCGCGCAGGAGGGCAATCCACTTTTCGAGGACAAGAAAAAACACGAAAGCAAAGGACGGAAAGAAACACAAACAAAAAGGCTACATCGGATGCGTTGCTTGTCTTAAAGCAGCGTTAATAGAAGAGGAAATGGCTGGCTTGTTTTCGCTGGCAATATAAAACCACGAAAACAGAGACACGACTTAGCCCAGGTATCAAAAATTTGGCGACAATATATTTCGCTGTACTGCAGTCCGTGCTGCCATTATGTAAAAGACATATACATCAATGCGCATACGAAGAGAAGGGCTTTCGTTTGATATATGTTTATTCAGTTTTGGTGGCTTTCTATGGCGACATAATCGCGTTCAAAAACAGTGCAGCTGGCGCACCTCGGCGCGTTTTTGGTGATGTTTGCTTTCTTTCGGCTACCCGCGATGCCATCTCCGTCCAAACTTTTCAGCTCGCTTCAACAGCCGCATGCGCGAAATAAATTTGACAAATCTACATTCAAACGATAGCCCTTTAAAAGCAGTTTTCAACAAGTATAAAATTGTCTATTTTATGGTTTGTCGCAGAGGAAAAATATCAATCCAACAGTAGGACGGTGAACCACATGCGTCGCAACCCCTGTTTAAAGTGCGATTCATTGACCGGTATCAAGACGGACATGGATGTCGCACTGTTTGACAACGTACTTGATTTTATCTCCTGAAAATGCACATCCCATGTTGTTCTCCCGATGCAGACGTCTTCGTAAAGTGGCGCATGCTTGGGGTGCGTTCGTCGTGACCGAGCCCGGTCAGAAAAAAAAACAAGGACGAGGACGAGGAAGTACACCGTTGGGGAGGAGGACGAAGCGGGAGAGGCCAAATGGTGGGGGACCCACACCGCGGGAACGGTACCTTGCGCGTGTTGGTCAGGCTTTTGCCCTGCGACTAAGAAAATCCAAAATTAACTGGCTGGTGACATTCCTGCCCGTTTTCTTTCCTTTTTTATCTATGATTTTTCTGTATGTCTCATATTTCTGTATCGTGTCGTCCGTTCTTGCCTTTTGACTTTGTTCGATGTTGTCTCTTTCCTGTTCTCGGCAGGCTCGCGACGGGGCTCTTTTTTTTGTACATCTGCTCCTGCCAAAACTAGTCTGTTGTCATCTCTTGCTCCCCCCCGTCGTGTTGTTCTCCTCCTCGTCCACCTCCGCCGCCGCCGCCAACCCGCTCGCTTTTAGTCTCATAATATTTTTTCCCTTCTTACTCTCAGACTTGCACCTTCCCCCCTGTCCCACTTCGCCTCCGTCCTCGTCTTTCTTCGGCTGCTTCCACCTTTGCTCCTTCCCTCTTTCTTATTTTTTTCTCACCCTTTCTCCTTCCCGCGTCATAACCCACGACCACGACAGCTTTCTTTCTATCCCAACTCCCGCACCCACCGCCGCGTCGCGGCCAGTATCTCTTACTTCGGCACATCATATCTCGATAGTTTAATCCAGTCACGCTCTTTGTCGACCTCATTCATATAGACACCTTTGCGCGCGCGCCGGTTCTCGTCCTCCGCCGCAGGCCTCCACTCATTCGCCGCACACGCACCAACACCGCAGCAAATCACCAACGACGCGACAAGGCTTCGACCTTCGTGACGTTCTGCCATCCGCGCCCGCATTACCAAGCTTGTTTTCATTCAGCACCAGACGGCCAACGTCACGGCTCTTCCATCTCTATCGTTTACATGCGCGTCTGCCCTCCGCGCTTGCTCGTGTAAGTCGACAGATCGTCCTGCAAACCGTGACCGTTTTGGCCTTCCACTCAACCTCGTCCATCCTCTCACGTCACCACGTCCCCGTCTCTGCTCTTGTCTATTTCTGCGTCCCATCTACAGCCTCACTCCACGTGTGCCTGTTTTCAAAGAACGTCAAGCCGTGTCCTGGCTGTTGTTGTGCTGCACGCATTGCCGCCCGCGATTTCCTGGGGTCCCGAGGCCTGTCCCCTTTCCAAGCGCTTCTTTGGCCCTCGTCTCTCCTCCCCCGTCTCCCTTCTCTCAGCTCCAACCATCCATACTTCTCCCCTTCCCTCGCTCCCGTCCTCCCCACCCAGCCACGACCCCCCCCCCCCCCGTCGCCAAACAATCCTCAATCAAATTTCGACCTCCAAAATAGCAGAAAGGCAACCAGCATCATATTGCCGTGGCAAGCTTTCGTAACGCCGCTCGCATACACGCGCACATTTATTTATGCCATCACACCGTCCACTCTCACTCCACCCTCCCCAAATCCACCAACAAAATGCCACGCGTCTTGACCGCGCCCTAAAATTCTCAACCTTTGCTTAACAAACCCTGAAATCACCGCATCTTCACTTGCCCGGTGTTTAACCTCCTCCATACCTACTCTCCGGTCCTACTCTCGCTTTTCGTCTTGTATATATTTGAGACCACGTCTCTAATCGCGCAAGCTACTTGACAGACTCCGAACTCCTTTCTAATGCTGTATAAAACAGCACGGCGAATATAACAAGGGTTTATCTTGCTTCTTGGGCATAGTACGACCCTGGCGTCATTGGCCTCTTTTTCACAATGGTATGTTATCTCCGCCCTATGGCACCGACACATGACATCAAACTTTCCACCGCAGTGGTATACAAAAAACTCGACTTGTGACGGCCAGTGGGACTATTCCTCAGAAGCACTTCTCCCAACTCGGATATGCCGTTCATCAATGGTCCCAAAACTTCATATATGCTCTTCTTACTTACATGACTCTGCAGGTGCTTTTTAAACGGAAGCCGGTTCAACTCCGGCCACCACCAGAAAATCTGCGAGATCACGACGAGGTATGGTGTCCTGTGCTACATGATTTACTTACCTACGTCCAGTGCATCTTATGTGCATGTTAACTTACTCGTAATACAGGTCTGGTACATAAAAGACACAGGCGAGATCTTCGACTCATATGATTCCTATTTGGCAAGGTATGCATCTTGGACCTGATTTTATAACGAACACCACCTAGGCGCACAATGCTAACGGAAAGCTAGAATGGAGTTCTACAAGCAGGTATGGGCTATCAACTGCGATACTAATATCAATAGAGCAACCGAGTTGTCGAAGTGAATCCAAAGTGTGGCTAACATGTGACCTCCACGCCCAGCGCAAATTCAACTGCCAGATTACCGGCCACTCCGGTTTGACTTTCTTCGAGGCCATCGAGAGCGAGGTTTGTCTTCCTTCTGTTCCACTCTCCGACATTTGGCTCTGCGACCTTCTTCACCCCCGACGCCGGTTGCGTACTAACCTTATAATCTCACAGCGTGCCGGTGCTGCCGAAGTTGATCAAGCGTTTCCCGAAGCCCTCAAGGGCCCAGTCTTGCGCCGTGTCCAGTTCCAAACCGTTTCCCGCATCGACTCGTTAGTCGACCAGATCTACGACGAGTTCAAGACCGACTACCACCCAGGCGAAGCCGTCACCGTGATCATGTCCGACGCCGAGCGCCGGCATGGCATTGTGCGCGACAAGACCCGCTACGGCAGCAAAGTGCTTCCCGACGGTACCCTCACGCCCCCGTACACGAGGTATATTGTTGGCCTCGATGGCCGTCGTGGCGACGAAGCTGTTCTCGAGGAATCGAACATTTACCGCGACCGGAAAGTCTTCACCAAGTCGGTTCTCCGATCATTCATCAAGAAGACCGTCTCGCGGGAGGCGTGGAATGGCGCCCCGTGGCTGGTAAAGAGCGACGTTGCAGAACAGTACCATATCGACACGCGCGTTCCCTCCAACCTTCTTTACAATACCAAGATCATGGAGAGGAAGCAACTGCAGGCGCAAAAGCGACAATCTCAGAACCACAGCGATTTCAGCACCCTATTAAACAGCAGCCCGAGCAGCCCAGACGCCGGCGGTGGATTGCGGCTGCCAGAGCTGAAGCCGGTGAAAAGCCACAAGGCTAAGCACATCCAGCTCGCTCAGCAGCAGCGCCAGCAGTTGAGCCAGGAGAAGAATCAGCTCAAGATCAATGGTTCGTCGAAACCCAGACACAATGGATTTTCCCACCACCCTGAAGCCGGCCAATTCCAATATTTGCCATTACCGAACAGCCCTTTTAAGTTTTCCCTGTCCATGCGAAATCAGACCCTCACACCGCCAGGTCACAACGTCGCACAAGCTCCCGTTCAGCCGCCGCCGCCGCCGCCGCCGCCTCCCCGTTACCCGATCGAAGACCTCCAGCTCGAGCCGAGCAGATCGACGCGCCCTGCCCTCCGGTTCCTATGCAACGATCCGCCTGTCCAAGCCGACCAGAAGGGCCAGAAAGCGCGACTACCTGTCTCCGAAAAGATCTTGATGAAAACGGTTGGTCCTCTGCTGGAAACGTGGGATACTCTCAACGTGTACTGCGAGATCTTCAAGCTCGACTCGTTCACCTTCGACGATTTTATCGAAACATTGCATTCGGCGTCCGACGACGAACCCGTGCAGCTTTTTGACGAAATCCACTGCTCTGTTCTCAAGACGCTTGTGCATTCCGAAGCCGACGGCGGCGCCGTTCAGATCCACCTCCCAGATGTCGAGGGCGAAGATGACGAAGAAGACAAGGAGGGCGAGGAAGAAGAGGAGGAGGAAGAGGAGCCCGAACCTGAACCTGCGCCGCGGGCCACTAGAGCGACCCGCAGCAGTCTCGCAAAGGTCGAAGCGGAACGGCTAGCGGCTGAGGCTGCCGCAGCCGAAAAAGAAGCAGAAGAGGAGGAAGCTGCCGCCGTCCACAGCGCCGAAGCGGCCCTCGAAGACTACGACTGGATCGATGAACTCCGCAAGCGGAACTTCAAGGAGGGTGGCTGGCAGCTGATCCTCGTCGGCCTATTGTACCAGCTCTCCAAGGACGAGCGCCGCCAGGCCGTTTGCGAGGAGCTGCTGGCCCAGATTGTGCCGCCCAACGTCGAGGCCACAAAGGAGACGGTGCGGGAGCACTACTCCGCGCTCGACATCAACTACCGCGTCCAGGTGCTCCAGATCATCTGCATGCTCACCATGGAGACCAAGGCCGTCCGCGGCTACATGGAGGACTGCAGCGAGCAAATGACCAAGTACCGCAAGGAGAAGATCGAGTGGCAACGGTCGCGGAAGCAAGCGTACGTTTCTCTTGCATACAAAAGCTGTAACGAAAAAAAAGGTGAACTAACAATTTATGACAGCGTCGAGGATCTCAAGGTACTCAACGAGCAGCGCAAAATTCTTCTCCCGGACAACATGCCGCCGTCTCCGCCCCAAGAGGCGACAAAACTTGACGATGTCAAGATGACCGATGCGGAAGATCTCTCTCATGCCGGCGACGACGACTCCGACGACTCTGGTGCTCCCCCAGTCACCGCCCGCGGGCGTAGCCTGCGCAGAGCCGACGACCGCGCTGCAGAGCGGAAGCGCAAGATCGAGGAGGAGATTGAACGTAAGAAGGAAGCCGAGGCTGCGGCCAAGATGCCCAAGCAGTCCAAGCAGTTCATCAAGCTCTTGCGCGACATTGAGAAGAAAGAGGAGGAGATCAAGGAGTGCGAAGACGAGATTGCGACTCTCGACAACGACCTGCGCGAAGCCGACTGCCCGCGCACGCGCGTCCTGGGCAAGGACCGGTTCTGGAACCGGTACTACTGGTTCGAACGCAACGGCATGCCGTACGGTGGTCTCCCCACCAGCTCGACGGCCGAGGCCGGCTACGCCAACGGCTGCATCTGGGTGCAGGGCCCGGACGAGCTCGAGCGGGAGGGCTATATTGACATGCCCGAGCAGTACCAAAAGGAGTACAAGGCCAAGTTCAACATGACGGTGCCGGAACGCAAGAAGCTCGAAGAGGGCGCAACCAGCATCTCCAACGCCACCCAGTGGGGCTACTTTTCGGAGCCCAAGGAGCTCGACGACCTCATCAACTGGCTGGACTCGCGCGGGTTCAACGAAATGAAGCTACGTAAAGAGCTGGTTTCATTCCGCGAAAAGATTGCGACACACATGCAGAACCGCAAGAAGTACCTGTCGCTGCCAGACGAAGAGGAAGCCAGCGACGACAAGGAGAAGGAGAAGGGGGACGAAGACAAGGACAAGGAGATGGCCGTCGAGCACCCCGTGACCAACGGCACATCCAAGGGCACATCCAAGCGCAAGAGCACCCGCGCCGTCAAGGCGGCACCCACGCCCGATCCGACCCCAACGATCCTGCGCTGCATGCAGTGGACAAACGGCATGGCCCTCGAAGACCTCGGCCACCTCCACAGCGAGCCGCCACCGCCGGCTCGCTCGCGCAAGCAGAGCCGGAAGAAGGAGGCGGCGCCCGAAGAGGAGCCCCCCCGCAAGAAGACGCGCCAGGGCACGGCGCGCCGATAGTGCGTCTGATGCAGCTCGTCTGCTCAGGTCACTGTGCTGGAATGCGCGTTGCCATCATCTCAATCTCTTATTTCCCATCATTTTTTACCTTTTGTCGTAATTTTATACCCTGAAACCGGAGGGACAATTCTTGGGGTTTCTCTATATGTACGACACTGGACCGTGCATTATGGATTTTGGTATTGCTTTGCTTTGTGATATTTGTTGGTGTTTTTTTGTATTTGTTTTCGTTCTTTTTCCGCGAGCTGCGGCGAGCTGCATGCGCCTGGAATAATACCCAAGGAAAGGGAACGAGGAGGGGGAGAAGAAAAGAAAGAAAAAAGTCACAGAAGCTATGTTTTGCAGCGGGAACCAACATCATCAGCGGGCGGCCAGGAGCATTTCGTCTCTTTTTCATCATCTTATTTTCTGCGGAACAATCAAAAGTCAGGGAACCATAGACCAGGGGTGAGAGGTATGCATACATTCCACTTTGACTACATATTGTTCATTTTGGACGATTTTGCCAGTGACTTTCGGTCTGCTCTCCAGCATTGGGTGGTTAAGCCGGCCAGGCTGCCGCAAAGGGACGGAACACGATACAATACGGTTCCACGAAGAGGTGGCATTTGCGTCTCGTACGTCGGCCTGTCCTCTACGAAATTATTTTTTGTTTTGAGCCTCTTATACTTCCAGCTTCCAGCTTTTCGTTTATCCCTAGAAGCCGTTGCGCTCAGTCTACCTGAAAACGGTGACAAAGGGGGGGGACGCCCAGCAAATCACGTTGTGCCACTCAACAAGGGCAGACGTGAAAGCAGGTCAGAACGAACTGCCCCTGGCCACGGAACACAAAAGGCAACAGAATGGTAAAAAAGGCGACCAATGCAAAAGCACCACGCACGCAAGGAGAGCATCGCTGCCGCGTTTGCACGACCCCGGGGAAGAAGGAACAATGGCAGGTAAGGTGAGCGGATGACGGACGGTGGGACAAGAAGAGAAGGAAAAAAGAGGGCAGCTTTTATGTTGACGAGAGGTTTGCTCTTGTGTGTTTGTGTCTGTGTAATTGTAGAGGTGACGTTGTGTCCTGCCTCGTCTCTCAGAAGGGCACTGCCATGGTGCGTGCAGAACCAGAGCCTCACGAAACAAGAGAGAGAAGGTAAAAAGAAGCCGTGACATGCTCACCGAGATGGAACGTCAGGAAGCCCATTGCTCTTCTTGGCTGAGAGCCATTTATTTTGCTTTACCTTTTATTTTATTTCGTTTTTTTTTTTTAAAAAAAAAAAAAATACTGTCCCCTTTCGGCCCTACCAAAGATCGACTGCATGTAGCCGACGAACTTGGTCCTCTCGCCCAAGGTGAAGAACATCGACCCAAACCAGAGGGGCCGCAACGGGTAATAACGTGGCATCAACCAAGCACCTTCTGTATGATGCAAAGGGCTCTGGACTCAGTCTTTGCCATTCAGGCCCAGTAACTATGGGATGCAAAATCGCCCGTCCAATAAGCACTTGCCCCCCAAAAGTACTCCTTTTAGAATACATCACATCACCGTGCGTAAACCAGCCATGGCCTGCCAGCCCCTTTTATTTACTTCTTACCCAATAGGCTACGCATAGTATCAAGATGCAGTGCAAGGAAAGATGCATAAACAAGATGCCATTGACCAAGGACTCTCAAAAGGCAAATCACCGCAATCCAGTCTACGCAGCTACATGGCCCATTTGTATCTCCATCTTGTCCCCTCTTCCCCTATCAGATGTGTGAAGCCACACACCTTACATCTTTGTCCTTGTTGTTCGCTTCCCGTGGCACCTGCCTCACCTTGCGTCTGCCTTGTTCAGTTGTCTGGTGTCAGACGAGCGAAATCATGGGACAAATGCAACTGCAGAGCCTCTCCAGGCATCATAAAGCTTTCCAGGAAAAGGCGATCCAGTTCGGTAAGTTGGTTCGCCTCGTGTCTCGCCTGTCTGCACTCGTCATGGTTTGTTTTGTTTGCCCCTCTCTGTTTGCAGCCTGCGGCAGATAATATTAAAAGGGGGCACGATATCCAAAAAAAAGAGCGTTTCTTCACCGCTCCCTCTCCTTGTCACCTCGTGATTTTTCCTTTCCTCTCTCCTCCCTTCTCACTTTTCCATAGAATCTATATTTGATTTATTTTGTCTAGTCTTCCCATCCACTTTATCCTTTTTACTTACCCCTTCCCTCCTTGGACTTATACAGGAGTTCAATTCAGTCTCTCACCCCTCTCTTTGATATATATCTCCATATACTAGTTCCGGCTTCAGGATCGTCCTCACCGAACTTGCCAATACTTTTTTTGCCTGTCTCTTGCTGGTGCCAACAACACATACTTTTGACGTAAGATACTTGCAAACAAAAGAAGTGGGCAAGGCAGGATTACCCGACAGAAGTCAAGGTCGCATCGGCGGTAGGACAAGCAGAGGCATCGAAACAAGGCTTCAGGTATGTGTCTTGTGTCTTTTTATATTTTTATTTACATGCATCTTTTAGGTCTCTTGTGGCATCAGACAACAGAGACACATACACACGCCTGTCCCTCACGCTCTTTTTATACTTCACGAGGCAGGTAAATCTGTCCGACACACTGACAAAGTCCCTGAGAAGGTGACCCTTATTTTCCATCTTTCCTGCGTCCGTTGTAGAGCGAGCGACATATATCGGACGACGAATGATATAGACTTCTCTCTATACGTTCTTGCCATGGACGCCGACTGTGGCCCTCGCAGCAGCCAGCTCAACCTCAACCTCCATTATCACCATCCGCATCACGCCAGCAGCATCAGCGCTCAGTGGTCGCATGGCCTTCACGGCACCCACAACCCGCAGCCGAACGCTCGCCACCGCCAGCAGGACTGCCAGCAGGCCAGCCGGAGGCAGTACGCCGTACCGGACGAAGGCCGCGTGGCCCGGGAACCATTGGACGGCAGCACTGGTCGCCTCGCGCGGGCAGGGACGGCGCCCACAGGTTCTGCATGCCTTCCGACTCAAGCCGATCTCTGGCCGGCCAGTCATCAGCTCCCTTCCAGTGCCCGTATAAATAGCCAACACCATCAACTCCATCAACACAATCACTGTCTCCATCAACTTTATCAACTTCATCGACCCCGTCAACAACAAAAACCTGCTTCTCTTCCCACGTCTTCCAACACATCCATCTCCATATCTAGTAGTAGTATTAGTACTAGCACGTGCGCACCGCATCACGACGTTTTTCCAACTTCCCAACAGCAACGCCACGCTTCCAATCCCGGTGGGTTTGATCATCAAATTTCTCGCGAAGAAAGTGTTTCCTTTATCGAGCCGGTCAAACTGCCGTATCCCTGCTCTCTCCAGCAGGCCTCCATTGCCCCACACGTCGCCGCGATGGACGAGACCACCAACTGTGACATTGCAAGCAAACGGCCTGCTTCGCCAGAGACACCGTTGACGGTTCCAGCATTGTCTTCTTCGCCAGGTGAGAACGCGGCCACGAACGGCGCCCCGCATAACCACAAAGACTGCAGTCCTTCTCCCAAAGCCCAGGTATCCTCGCAACATGAGAGTCCAACGTCTGCGCCGTCTCCTCGCAGCCAAGCGTATGCAACGATAGACAGCAACAGCGACCGGGACATTGTGCATGATGACATTGTCCCCGTCAACGACAGCCTTCCTGAGCCAGGCGCCGGGCCCGGCCCAAGTACCAACCAGAACGTCACAGCGCCGTTCCACTTTCCCATGCCAAGAAGAAACAGCGTCACGGACAATGCCAGAATCGCTCACTCGTCCCTTTCAAAGCAGACACAGACAACCCAGTCGGCCCAGACAATGCAGCAAGCTCCGTCCAGCGCAGACACTCCGACCTTTGGCGGCTACGTTGCCTACTGCCTCGATCGCGGCAACGGTCTGTATACCAGATTGATCCCCGCCGATCGCTTGCCTCCCACGGCTGGCTTTGTGGCGCTGCAAAACGACAGCCGGGGCATGTTTGTGCTCCCAGATCCGTCGACCCAGCTGTCTGCTAGTATGGCACTGCCATCGATGCCGGTTGTCAATACCAGCGTCACATACAACTATGGCACGCGGCCAGTCCAACAGGTGTGTCGTCCTTGTCCCAATACTGCCCTCATACACGCTCACGTGCTAACTCCGTCAAAGAGCTTCGCTCCGTACGGGTCACTACAAGGACAGACGTTGTCCTCTGTGGTTCCCCAAGCCCAGCGCCCCGGCCAAGTCGGCAGTGCCAACGCCAAAAAGCAAAAGGTATACTGCGACAAATGGGTACACGAGGGCATCTGCGCCTTCACTCAGCAGGGCTGCAAGTTCAAGCACGAGATGCCCCACGACCGTGCCACGCAGCGCTCGCTCGGTCTCTTTCAGGGGTATCCGAACTGGTATAAGAAGCTGCAGGCGCAGGAGCAGCACCAGCACCACCAACAGCACCCGCACCCGCACCAGCCGTCCATGGAAACACCAGCAATGGCACCCTTAGCGCTGCTGGCACCGCCTACACCCGGACATGGATTGGAGGCCACCAGCGTCCAAGCGCAACCCTTTCCCACCGGCTTCCTATACCCGAACATTGCCCCGGTCTGTGTGCCGGCGCCGCCACCGCCACCGTCCGCGACCCTGCCGCACCTTGCCTCTGCAGCATACCAGCCCATCTTCTCGAACTTTGGCAGCCCTACGAGCAACCGCCAGAAATCCGGCTTGAATGGCAATACTGCCACCGGTATTGAGGGCCACTGGCGCGCAAACAGCATCCACGCAGCCTCTTGGCGCATACCACTCGCGACCGGCACCACGGCCAACCATACCACTGCTTTTTCTGCTGCTTCTGCTGCTTCTGCTGCTTCTGCTGCTTCTGCTGCTTCTGCTGCCGCTACTGCTACTCCTGCCGTGACATCCACCGTCACCGCCGACCACCTCGCAGACAACTTTGCCCGCAGCCTCACCATGGACGGAGTCGCCAGCTTGACCAGCAGCACATCGCCCACGTCGATGGCCGGCGAACCACGGACCGGAACAGCGGCCTTTAGCAGCTTCGGCTACGGTGCCAATAGCAGCTTTGGCCGCGGATTCGGTGCTCTCGGTGGTCATCTGCTTCCACTCGGCCCGCTTGGTGAAAGTGAAAGCGGTGGCGGCAGCAGCGGCAGAACGTTTGGCCCCATCGGCCCACCTCCAACAGCATCAAACTCTTCAATGCCAGGTGTATCTTCGCCGACGGCGACGGCGACGGCAAGCTTCACCTACCGAAGTGCCGGAGACGAGAGCGGCCCCTTGGCAACCGACTGGTAGGGAAGAAGGCGTGGAGTCCAGGTTTGGCCATATTTTGGCTATTGATTGCGATGACTTTTGTGTTCTTTCCTGTGTTAAATGTATCGCCGCTGGGCATTGTTTGTTTCATGGAATAGACGGGAGGTGGATAAATAGGAGGTCCAAAGCTCGAATTGTCCCAAACGCTTGCTGGCCAAGCCGTTCGAACGATCAGTTGTATTGTTCTTGTTTCCTGTTCGTTGATTTCTGTGTCTGGCGACATTGGTGTTTCATTGTCTTCATAGTATCCCAAATGAAAAATCTAGAAAAAAGAAATAGAATTACGAGGTTTTTGACAATGAACGTGCACAATTGTTTTGTTTACAATTGACGAGCTGTAATAATTAGGACTCCGCAGTCACTAATGGCGCGTCACTGTGGTCATTTGTGGCTGTGCCAGTTTAGCCACATCCGATAGCAATGGCGGGGCTGCTCTTCCCCAGCATCTACGACCACCAACAACGACAGTAGCAGCTGCCTATCACGGCCACATTGCTGTCAGCTTTCCGCCTCATAATAGCAGTGTCGTCCCCTAGCTCTCGAGGGAATCCTACACCACTCAATCTCTACACCTTCTCTCCCTCTTCTCTCCCAGCCACTCGAGGACCGTAATCCGAGCTTTCCAGCCGTCTCGAGCACGGGACGATCCCTTCACAAACAGCCGTCCGCCCTCGGCCTCGACCTTGACACCTCGTGAGGAACACTGCTTCTGCGAATAGCTTCAAACTGGTCTCTTAAGCCTCAGCGGAACAATACACACAGACACGCATACGTCCTCACAATGGAGAAGGTCGCGGCGACACTGCTGCGCTTCCCGCCTGAGGGCCAAGAGATCGAGTCGCTGTCCGACGACGTCTACGACCAGCAGATCAAGATCCATGCCGGTCGCATCCAAAACCTCTTCAAGGAACATGTCAACATTATTGCCGCCCACGCCACAGAGCTCCTCGACAGCTTAGATCCCGCCGTCCACACCTACTCCTACCTAGCCCTCCTCGACACCATAATACCGACCGAGTTCGCCCTCTACGCGTCCGTCCAGCCCGTCATCGCCAACAAGATTGCCGCCCTGCTGACGGCCTTTGACCCGCGGCAGGTCCGCTACATTGGCTCCGCCTTTACACATGTCTTTACTGCCGTCGGTTCGGGCAAGATCATTCCGGTGCATACCCCCTGCTGCCTCTCCTCGGTTCTGCATCCTGCAGCTAGCTAACCTTATCCGCCCCCACCCCCTTTCCAGGCACCACTTGCTGTCGAACTGCTCGCACATGCGCTCGCCTCCGTCGATCCCTCCGGCCGCATGCTGACATCCAACCATTTGGTCCTTGCCAAGCTCGCCTACCACACAAACAATGCCGCCGCCGCCCTTCCCGTCCTCAGCAGGGACATTGTCTTCTTCCCGGGCATGGCCGCCGCCCACCGCGACGGCGAGCGCCTCTCCAGCCGCACCCTCGCGCCACCCTCATACATCTCCAAGGACACAGGACTCACCCTGCCCTTGAAGAGCACCCAGGTCCTCGAGTTTGACTTTGTCCTCGGTCTCCTCCATCTGTCGGTTCGGGCCTGGGCCCCCGCGCACGCTGCCTTTGCCCGCGTCGTGTCCCACCCCACCCGCGACAACGGCGCCTCCTTGATCATGGTCGACGCCCACAAGTTCTGGGTCCTGACGGGCCTGCTCCTCTTTGGTCGTGTCGCCAACTGCCCGCCCCAGACCTCCGCGGCCGCCAGCCGCATTTGCGCCTCCATCAACAAATTGTACGGCCACATCGCCAACGCCTTCCAAATTGCCAGCGCGGAGACCCTGCAGCTCGAGGTGGCCATGGGCCACGACACCCTGGCGAGCGACAACACGCTCAGCCTGGCCACCGAGGTCGTGGCCGCGCACCCCAAGTGGCAGATTGCGCACCTGCGCCGCATCTACACAACCATCAGCGTGGCCGCCATCTGCGAGAAGCTACGGAACCCCACGCCAGGAACGAGTGCAAATGCCGCCGCCGCCCGCGTCCCCAACCCCGACATGGTGGACGACGCCGCGGCGCTCAGCGAAGCCGACGTCACGGCGCTGATCCGGGACATGATCGACTCGGGGATGATTAAAGCGGCGCTGAGGCAAGCAGAGCCAACAACAGCAACAGATACATCATCAAAAACTACAGCAGCAGCATCCTCAGCAGTAGACGACGTGGACGGGGCCCCAAACCAGCGCGAGGGTGGCGCATACCTCGAGTTCCTGCCCGAGGCAGAAGACATGACCGAGGCCGAGTTTGGCCAGCGGATCGGGGTGATCGAGTCCCGGATCCAGGCGCTCAAGCCACTGCACACGGCCACCGAGGAGCACCTGACCTTGAACCGCGACTACATTCGGCAGCACATTCGCGACGCTCTGCGGGAGAAGGACCGGGCCGCCGCCGGCGACGACGACAGCATGGGTGGCATGCTCAACTACGATGTAGACCCGGACGAAGACCTGATGATGGACGGGCCGGAGCCTGCAGATCATTGAGTCGGGGGGAGCGATAAGACGGTGAATGGGTGAAAAGGTGTGGGCGGATAGGATCCGTAGTTTTATGGAGAGAAAAATAGGCGTACCCAGGTTTCATGTCTAGCCTTGCTATTCTAACGTCATTATCGAGCTTTGACGCATGTCTCGTACGTTTTGTGTCAAATTCTTTCATTTACATGCCTACTTCCTCCGTCGTTGCAAAGTTCATAACGGGCCTGACAAACAGCATCAAACGTGGCCATGACAACGATTCTTCTCGTAATGAACACATCAAAGAGTGCAGGATTGTGGGTACGTTTTAGAAAAACAAAAATTGACAAATAAATGGAATCGTGGAAAAAAGACAAAAAAAGCGCGAAATATGAAAACTCCGTAAGAAGCGACCCAGCCATCTCGCCGTTCGTAACAAAACACTCTGTTTTTTATACCATTATCGTCTCCCATGACCAAAACTTTCCGTCCAATGACAAGACTACAGCTGGAACTGCTTGATCAGCTCGGCCAGTTTGTGGCCTTCGCTCTTGAAGTCAATGGGCGTGGCGCCCACAATCTGGTAGCGGATGCGCTGGGCGTCGCCAAAGGTGTCGAGCTTGGCGCGCACGCGGAACGAGTACTTGCGGCAGTTGGCCTGCTCAAAGGCCTTGCCAAAGGCCGGGTCCTCGTCCTGCTGCATGCGCGTCAGCTCGTTGGCGGTCGTGCCGCCCATGAGCATCTTGCCGACGTCGTCAAAGCACGACAGCCACAGCTGGCCCGTGTGGTCGTTGGCATTGAGCATCATGGTGTAGCGGTACAGCGGCGCCGGGTGGTTGGCGTCGCACGACTCGCACCGCCACGTGCCGTCGCCGACCTCGACCACCTTCTTCTGGCACGGCTTGTCCGTGTTGCTGCACGCCGGGTACGCAAACGTCTCCTGCTTGATGAAGACGACGGTCGCCTTGAGCGTAAAGTACGCCGTGTCGTCCATGCCCAGGTTCTCCTCGCGCACCTGACCAATCGTCTTGACCACCTCGGTGCGCCCGCCCGCGCCGGCGCCGGCGCCGCCCATGGTGTTGTGCGACGCAAACGTGCCGGCGCGGCCGACGGAGTCGTACCAGCCCTTGAGGTGGTGGGCCTCGGTAATGTCCGGCTCGACGGACATGACGCCCGACTGCAGCAGCGACAGCGAGCGGCCGCCGAAATCGGACACGCGCACGCCCTTGAAGGCCACGACGGACTCGAGCTTGGCGTCAAAGTCGACGGCCGTCTTGCCCCACACGGTGGTGCGCACGCTATAGCCGCTGTCGTCGACGAGCGTCAGCTCGCGCTTGTCAAAGGGCTTGCCGGTCGTGCGCGACTGCAGCGACGCGGTCTCGCCAATCTCCTTGAGGATGCCGATGACGTCGACGGTGGCGTCCTTGTCGACCGACTGCAGGGCGCCGAGGTTGCAAAAGTTGAAGCGCAGCTTGGGCACGTTGCTGCTGTCCTCGGCCTTTTCGACCTGGGTGTCGCGCTCAAACGTGAGCTCGTAGTCGTTGGGCAGGTTGGTGAACTGCTTCTTGGCAATGTTGACGCGGCAGGGGCTCGAGATGTAGTACACGGAGCCTTCCTGGAACAGCTCGTAGAGGGCGTCGCACTGCTCGTTGAAGCCCGTGGCCTTGATCTCGCCGCTCTCGTCCAGCAGGTTCACGCTAAACAGCTTGCCCTCGCCGCTGGCCTTGTGCCATGTGCGGATGGGCGACTTGCTGGTGACGCGGGCCTTGATGGTCCACTTGTGCGAGTAGGGCGACAGGCCCTCGATGGGGCAGATGTTGGGGTGGGCGGCGTTGCCGCCACCGTAGCTCGTTCCGCTGGGCCGTGCATAGTCTGCCGCAGGGGCCGACTTTGTCGACGATGCCGCACCACCACCACCACCAGCGCCAGGCTCTTCCTTCTTGACACCGTAGAACCCGGTACCACCAATGGTGGTGTTGGTCGGGCCCGCGGCGGCCGATGTGCTCGCGTCGTAGACGACGGGTTCGCCAATGCGCTCGGGTGTGCCGAGGGATTCGATGACCTCGAGGTCGAGGAGGATGAGAATGCTACAAAAACGGTCAGTGTCCGTTCAAATCGAGAAAGGCCGGAGGCAGGACAGGACGCACTTCTTGCCCTTGACCGAGTTGGCCTGGTAGGACTTGACGCGCACGATGCAGCCGCGGACCAGCTTGCCGTCGTGGACGACGGCGCTCGCCTGTGTCGCCAGCATCGTCTGCACATAGTGGTCCATGTCGCTCAGGACGACGCGGTACCGCTCACCGCCGCCGCCGGGCTGCTGGTTGCCCAGTGGCTTGACCTGCAGGCATTGGAAGATGGGCACTGGGAACTGTTCCTTGCCCTTTTCGGGGTCGTTGAAGATGACGCTGCAGAGAGAAAGAGAAAAGAGGGTCAGTGTCGGGCGGTCTTCACGATGCAGGGGAAGCTTGTGACAACATACGAAAAGGCACCCCGCGAGATCTGTCTTGCTGCTGCGTCGGACATGGCTGTGATGTGGACGATGAGGATGAGGATGTGAGAAAAGGTGTGATGTCGAGTCCGAATGGATCGCTGCCGTCTTCGTCGTTGGAAAGACGACTATGTCCAGGGCCAAGGTCGAGCTGCAGTATGGAGAATGTTGCGTCACCCAGAGATGCAAGGTCAGAACAGAAGAACACCCCAAATTGTTTGTATCAGCGTCCAGAGCGGCAAAATGCGGTAGTGTTGATGCTGGGCGGCGAAAAACGGCAAGTTGGGATGAGAGGGGGAGAGAGTAAACGCGTCGAAAGCGCGTCGGGCGCGTGTTTTTAATGGGACCGCCGCTTAAGTGGCAAGGCTGTGGCGGGGTTCACTGGCGTTGTTTGGCCGTTTGGCGTGGTTTAGGCGTGCTGGTGCCTGGTTTCAACAGCACAGGTGGCGTATTGTTTACGTACGGTGCGCATTTTCATAGTCTACGGCGTGCGGAGTACAGCACGCAGGCCTAATTCGAGGGAGGTGCAGGGAGAGTTAGGGGACAATAGTGGTGATTTGGGGGCACATTGGCACTGTAGCTTAGCACTGTGGACGTTGGTGAGAGCCTATGTGACCCCGCCCTGGGCCAAGCTGTTACACTATGAGTGTAGAGTACTCCAAACAGCCTCACTATCCGAACGGTTAATCAAGTGCGCACTGCATAATCACATCGATCTGACGATTCGCGCATCAAGTTCTTATTGAGTGAGCGGCGTGAATCGTGTTTGGTTCGCCTTCTTTTCGACACACTGCACAGAGACTGTCCGACGAATCGACGGAAAGCATCATCGAACGACGTCAATTGCTCCACTATTCTGACTACCTCCACGACAACAACAACCATTCAACGCAGTAATGACTGCGGCCGACCTTGCGACGAGAGCGCCTGAGAGCGATGCGGCCGAGGATGCTGCCCCGGCTGTGCCATCATCGGCCGCCGATGACGCTGCAGCTGGCCCCAAGCTCTGCGACGACTGCGTGACCGACCGCCCAACCCGTACGTTGTCCACGTCCCAACGGTCGTTTCTGGTTCCATGCTGACCTCCTCGCCTTCTTCTTTAGCCAACGGCCGTGTCCCTGCGGGCGAGATCCGCAAGCTCGGCGACGTCGACACCTACGTCGTCAAACCCAGCGGCTACCCCCACGCGCCCGCGCGCCTCCTTCTCTTGCTCACGGGCGGCACCGGCCTGCCGTCCACGAACAACCAGATCCAGGCCGACCTCTACGCCGACGAGGGCTTTGTGGTGGTCATGCCGGACCTCTTTGGCGGCGACGTGGCGCCCAACTCGGAGGCCATTGAGGAGGAGGTGCGCAGCCAGGAGAGCAGCACGGCGGCGGGCGGGTCGTTCCTCGACCTCTTCAAGACCAAGGCCGCCGAGACGGTCAAGAGCTTCATGATTGACATGTGGCTGGCGCGCCACACCGAGGCCAAGGTGCTGCCGCTGCTGCACCGGGTGCTGCGCGCGGCGCGGGACGAGTTTGCCGATGCGGTGGCGCGGGGCGACGGGGTGTATGCGGTCGGGTACTGCTTTGGCGGGCGGTACGTGCTGCTGCTGGCCGGCGACAAGGCCAGCCAGTACAATGTCGAGGGCCCGACAGCCAAGCCGTCTGGTGCCGCCCCCACGCAGGGAACGGCCCCGACGGCCCAGACGACTACATCAGGCGCGGCCGACCCCAACGCCGACGTCGACGTCGTGGCCCTCGAGGAAGGCCTCCTCGGGCGTCCTGGCCCCCTGATCAAGGCGGGCGTCCTGGCCCACGCGACGCTGGTGTCGCCCGAAGACTTCAAGGGCTTGCAGGCGCCGATCAGCATGGTGTGCGTGGAGAGCGACCCAATGTTCCCGGACGCGGTGCGGACGGCGGGCGAGGACTACCTGTCGCAGAACAATGTGGAGCACGAAGTGCAAGTCTACCCCGGCGTGCCGCACGGTTTCGCAGTGGTGGGCGACTACGCGGACGCATCCATCCAGGAGGCACAGGCCGTTGCCTTTGAGCAGATGCTCAAGTGGCTCAATGCCCACTAGGGAAAGTATGGTGGCGTTCACACGACGTATTATGGACAATGGCAGCAGTGGCGTTTGGAGTGGTATTTTCTCGAGTGTTTCTCGAGTACTTCTGGGTTTTTTCGACGTTTTTTTTTTCTTTTCTCTTCTGTAGTTTGTCACGCGCTTCTTCGGGTCAAGTGCCTGGGTCTCTCACGTTACATGCCAATTTATCGTCCACAGACAATTATCAAATGCAAGGACATAACAACAACAGCTCAGTTGATTGTGCACACAATCTTGCCCATGGACACATTCTTCTCCATGTACTCGTGCGCCTCGCGGATCTGCTCCCAAGGCAGCACCTTGTCCAGGTACAGCTTGAGTTTGCCGTCCTCAAAGTGCGGCAGCACCGTCACCAGCCGGTCCCGCAGCCGGCCCTGGTAGTCGGGCGCGCGGCTGCGCAGGCCGCTGCCCTCGATGCGCAGCCGCTTGCGCAGGATGCTGCTGATGTTGACGTCCGCCGGCAGCTGCGCGCCGCTCATCAGCGCCAGCAACACAATGTGTGCGTCGAGCGCGGCGGCATCCAGGTTCTTCTGGAAGTAGTCGGCGCCAATGTAGTCGACAATGAAGTCGACGCCCTTGTTGTCGGTGGCGCCCAGCACCTCGTCGGCCCAGTTGTGCGTCTTGTAGTTGAACGCCGCCTTGGCGCCGAGCTCCCGGACCAGGAACGCGCACTTGTCGTCCGTGCCCGCCGTCGCGTACACGGCCGACGCGCCCGCCAGCTTCGACAGCTGGATGCCCGCAATGCTGACGCCGGACGCGCCGGCATGCCACAGCGCCGTCTGGCGCAGGTCGCCGCGGAAGCCGCCGACCTCGTGCAGCGCCTGCAGCGCCGTGATCCAGTTCTCGGGGATGGCGGCGGCCTGCTCCCACGACAGATAGGCCGGCTTGTGCACCAACATGCGCACCGAGCTGGCGAGGTACTCGGCATAAGCGCCGCCGTAGGCGAGGCCAAAGACTTCGTCGCCGACCTTGAAGGCGCCGCTGGCGTCGCCTGCCGGGGTACTCGTGCTGTGCTGCGTGCCCAGGGACTCGATGACGCCGCTGAACTCGACGCCCATGGTCTTGGGGATGTGCGGGCCCAGCGGGTACTTGCCCTCGCGCTGCGAGAGGTCCATGCGGTTCAGCCCGAACGCCTTGACCTTGACAACGGCCTCGCCGTCCCCGGCCGTCGGCTTCGGCGTCTTGTCGTTGATGAAGAGAGCGTCCGCATGGCCGGCACCGCCCTTGACGTCTGTTTGTGGCCGAAACCGATTCCTTGCGGTTAGAGACTGTTCTTGCATCGCTTTGTAGACGGCGCCCTCCACAGCAAGCGCAACTCACCAACTGCGCGCATGTATGTCGTCATCGTGTCGTTTTGTGTTGTTGCCAAGGGGAGCTGGCTTTGGTAGCTCGTCGATTGTGTGGAATCTGTCGAAATATACAACCTGTAAATCGGTAGAAAACCTTCGTCCTGGGAAGCCCTGCAGTTGGTTATGGTAGCCCGTTCCACCGTCCCTTCGAACAGCGGCAAGTTTTCACTTCAAAAGTCGCCTGACAAAGCAACCGAAACTCGCCATCGCGGGGTGGATCGACCGGACCGCAGATGCACTGCAGCTGGGGTATTAGAGGTTTTAGCTCGCACCTTTCCCCTCACCAACTGGTTAGCAATGGGCCTTTTGTGCCTCTGCAATGTCTCCGAAATCCGCGTCCGTCCTGACAGCTCGTTCAAGACGGCTGCTTGGACTGTTGTCACTAGGACATGCACCAATTGTACTCAATTGGTCTCGATCCCAGAACTGCATATCGCCGCGATGGAACAAAAACTGTTTTGTAGCCACCACAGCTCGGATGGATGTGTCATAGATCGGTCGATGCTTTTCGTTCGAATGTACCGCATGCATTTTCCCGGTAAACCATCCTGTTGACTGCCCATTTGCAGCCTCGTTCGCAGTTCGACTCAATTTGCTCCATCGGCAGGAGTTCGTCTCGAATGACGGGAAACGGAATTGACCGCCGGGACACACGCTCACAATCGAACAGCCCCATTTGTATCCGTCCCGTGTCTGGGCGTGGGTTTTGGCTCGCTTGCGTTCCGGGAATTCGGTACGTCGAGTGGTTTCTGTATCACAGGATCACAGGATCACAGGATATAGCAACGCACGAGACCTGTCAACGTTCAGTGAGTGTAGCTGGCGGTACTGACCGTCCACAAGGGTGCGCCAACCGTATGGCCTCAAACAGTTGACAGCAGGGTACCTTGTCCATGATTGTAGCCGTTGACGATATGCAAGAGAAGGGCAACGTAGAGGTGTTTCCTTTGCATCTGTGATGCACAGCGTTCGTCTTCAAAACACAGGGTCAACGGTGAACGGCCGATGAAATTGTCGACGAGGAAGGAGATCGAGGCAAACACGTTCACGACTCGCCGTCGTCCAGAAGTGAGGCAGACGAGATTGGCTTGACCTGGGGGCTGGGGAAGACGAGGGGTGGGGGAAGCGCCCGTCTCTCGCGTCCTCGACCAGGCGGGAACGCGTCTTTCTTGTATGGAGAACGAGCCCAAAAGAGAGACGTGGCACAATCGCGTTTCTTGGGTCCAACGCCGAGCGGGGACGGACAAGAGCAAAAAGGACAAATAGACAAGCAGGGGGGCTATTGTTCCGGGATGAGGATATGCGGTGAATGGGGGAGAACAAAGGCCAAAAGGGGAACGAGCCGCGTTCGCGTCCGAGTGGATGCTGGATGACAAGGTCACGATAGTGTAAATTAGACGACTCGATAGACGATGGAGAAAGGTCCTTTTCAGCCCACGACGCGGTCCGCCAACCGCTCCGCAGACGAGAAGACGTTTGGACAGGGAACGGCAATTTGCAGAGACGGGAGGCCATCTTTGCAACCGACGCTTCCAGTTCCGTTTATGGCTCGACGGTTTGCAGCCGAGCGGTCAAGCTGTTGGTAATGACGTGTGGCAATAAAAGACCAGCAAAAGGTGCCCGACAATGTTGCATCCGTACCACGCTGGGCTGACTCTTGGCATATGAACATTGCAATCCGCTGGCACTGGACAATCTGGACCGGGTAGCTACTTCGTACATCACCCAGGACCAGTGTATCACAAAAATTGGTGCAGAAGACCACCAAAGCAAACTTCAGATGAAGGATTCAAAGGATTTCCCCGAGTGCCATTTCACGGCGGCAGAACGTCCCAGCTCCCCCTGTCAGGTAGTCTCATTTTCTCGTCGTTTTTCCTTCCCTTTCGGATGATCCTAATGCGCAGATATGCGCAGAAACGCTTGGCGCTTTGGAAATTGCAAATTCATCTTTTTTTGGTTTGGTTATATTTTTGGATCGAGGCAAGGAAACGGTTGGCGGTCTGGACTTTTGTGAACAGCGCCTTTCCACCCTGGGTGGAGCTGATATTGTAATTTCGGTTTCTCGTTCTACGAAACGGGGATGCAAATACATGCAAATACATTGTAAGTTATGTGAACAAGCTGACAGGTCGGCTGTGCTTGCTGCGTATCTTTCAGCTGCACGATGCACTTGCACGACGTGCGCGTAGTGGGAATACGTTGCTCTGGCCCACAATGCCAGCGCATCGAAAGTATACATTGTAAATCGTCGCTTTCCTTTCTCTCTCCGCATTGTCATTTCATCAAAGCATGAACAAATGGCTCCATAGCGACTCCATCATCCCATTCTTGTCCGTCGTTTCGACCCGACAATGGAGCCACTGGGCGACTCCAGCCGAAAAAAAAAAGAGGAAAGAAAGCACACGCGCAGAGCGAGTATTCTGTATCGCGCGTTCAATAGTTTGAGCCATTGTGGAGGAGGTGGAAATGAGGTGTATGCCCAAAGAGGCAAAACTCCAGTTGGCGACACGCGAGGCGACGACGCGACGAGACCAAAGAGAAGCTTAGCAGCAGATGTTCCACAGTCTGTCGATACCGCCACTTGAAGACTACATAGGATTGAACGCGTATTTGAAGATAATTTCTGTGTAGTGTGCTGCAGAGCATCCCTTGTCGCTATGCTGACGAGGTGGAAATCCAGGAGCTATGACGTTCGGGGGGCTCCGTGTGGCAAGGAAGCTATGAAGTAATGTACGATGTAGAACCTGGCCCATCATGGCAGCTGTAAATCGTAGTTTCCAAAAGCTCCAAATGAGATAGCCAGGCGAGATTGGTTCCCAGGGTACAGACTACCTGTATGCAAGCAAAGCGTTCGACGATGCGACATTAAACGGCTTTGGAGGACGGTGCGCTGTTTGAGGCCCATGCAGCCCCATAATATGCAGCATCAGTCCTTGTGGAACGGAGCATACACGAGAGTCAGGGGAAGCTCCTGTCCCTAAGCTTGGGTTGGGGCTATGTATTGGAAGTTTCGATCTTGCAGAGGGTGTCATGGGCTACTGATTACGTCGATATAAAAATCTTGCATTTTTTAGGGTGAATTTTCTTTATTTGTGAGTTTTTATGTTGCATTTGGGTAATTAATCCAAAGGAAACACGAGAACAATTAAAACTTGAAATATACGACACCTGTAGCCATTGCGGGGGGCATATTCCCAAGGGAGTGATCCGATACAACATCAGAAAATAAAGTCAGATCACACCAAAACAAAAAATAAAAACATAATCAAACAACGTTTTTTGCATTGACAAACGAGACATGGAAATGCTAAGAGCAGCTCGTGTCTTGGACGTAAAAACGAGGAATGCAAAGACGGCTGCAAAACAGTAGCAAAACAAAGCAAGTCCGAAAGGGGACAATCATCGCCCAGCCCGTTAGCCAAGCGGCGATAGTCAATCTGGGCAGACACGATCGGCCGGGCCAGGAGACGGGAGACGGGAGCATACGATAAGTGCGATAAATTATAAATAACCAAAAGAAAAACAAACAAAAGGAAAGAAAAGAAAAGAAAAAAGGCAAACAAAGGCAAACAAAGGCAAACAAAGGCAAACAAAGGCAAACAAAGGCAAACAAAGGCAAACAAAGGC